TTCGTGGTTAAACTTGTGGTGTCTAGTTATTATGACCGATACTTATTGATTTAGGTCTAGATGGTAAACTTCAAAGATTTCAAAAAAGATTTAGCAAAAATCTCACTTTCAAAATGAATTAAATATGATTTTTAATTATGATGCAAATAAAACTCATTTTTCAAAGGATACCAGCCTCGTTTTGAAAGAAGGTTGCTATTAAATATGACTTTACGTTTTTCGATACCAGCAAAGAAGGTTGCTGACTATTAAAAGTTTGTTCAAAGCAACGACCTATAAGTCAAATTCGTTAAAATTGAAAAAGGATTAATGCGAGATCTGTAAAATTTTGGTTAAAGGATGATTATTTCAAAAAGGATTATTCAGGGGAGGGGGGAAGAGACGAGTTCTGGGACCGAGAAACAATGTTCTCACAACTTGCAAAGCGGTCACCCTGCGTGGTGGTCAGCGGATAATTGCTGTATTTTTTCCACGGTAAATATTTTTTAAGAAGCGAGAAACGAACCGGCAGAGGAAATGACCAAAAAATTTAAAAATATCATGCATCTTTGTTTTTCTTGCATATCATATTTGTCTTTTGGTACTGAAATTGCGGAGGAAACTAAAACGCAACCGTGTTAGATCTTAACCAACAAAACGCGCTCGATCGATTTTATAGGTCTTTATAGGTTACATCGGTTTTGCCTGACGAGGACATCAGAAGATAAAAGACGTTATGATGCTGATAAAAACGACTGGAGAAAGTGTCAAATTCATCGGTAGTAAGTACATTCAAGACAGCCTTACAAATATGAGCTTACTGCTGTACATATCATATATACCTGATTAAACATTCACACTTCATAACATTTCACTTCGTTTATTACGATCAGTCAATACCTTGAATTCAAAGTTAAAATTCAAAACGATCCTGCCGGTAATAGACAAATCATAACTACTACTGAAAGCTCTGTACCTTGAAGCGACCTTAACTTTCCTAATGTTTTCAGCAAAACACTGCTCGATAGCTCAACTCTTCGGCGGTTCTTATCAGCTATATGCAGCTTTGTGTTACACATTCCAAACACTGCAGAGGAAATTGTTTAACAGAAAAAGAAAACCACCTACTATGTCTGAAAAGCGACATGAAATCAAATTACCAAAATATAATAGTAAGAATCAGTCCCGCCTTGTACCGCCATGTTTTTGTTTCTTTTCAAAACCGAGCTTCAAAACCGTTAATCTATGATTTTTGTCGTAATGGGCATGATCAGTACACGAGTCCACTGGCAGGACCCTCGCTGAATGCTTTGCAAGTTGTGACAACATCGTTTGGATTTCTTTTAAGAGAATGTATGGAAAGTAGCTCCCCACACCCCCGGGATTATTATTTACTTTAAAACCTATTTTAAGTTTTAAGAAAGAGAAGCAAGACAGAAAATAGCCCGGTAAACACAAATACGCTGTATATGGATTACAAAAATGTATTTGACACGAAACTTGTTTTCCTGGTTATATTCTTCTATTATATGTATAAACACATGTATTTCTAAAAATAAAAATCGTTAAGGATCTTGGAAAACATTTTTTTTTTTTTTTGCGTCCTCAAAACCAACGAATTTGCCCCCAAAAGTGTCCGTGGGCCTGCCTCGTCCCTAGACGTCTCAGGTATGGAGAACGGAAAACGCGACTACAGGAGCCATCAAGGAGCATCGCGCAGTGGACCATGGGAACGTTTACCGTGGACGCAAAGGACGCTGGGAAGGGTGAACGAGAAAAATGAGACGCCTCGCAGATTTGGTTCGATTTCTGTCCAGAGAATTCCGATTTCTGGATTTGGGCTGTGAACCGTTTCCGTTGCGCTATTTTAAGGAAGAATAATGTCGCACAAGCACAAGAATTTGTCCTACCTTTTGGCTTCTACTTTTAAAAAATTTTAAAAATGTTTCTTTCGAAAAACTGTGGTCCTTTTCACAAGAGCTGTGTGGACGGGAGATTTCGTCCTTCAGGACGAACTGGTGAACTTTCCCTTCGCTAGAAAACACTCTAAATGATTCTTTTTCTTTCTCTCTAGTCTTGCACAGATTACTTTCCGCCATTTTGAAATCGTAATCTGCGAGGCGCGTTTTTCTCTTCGCCTTTCCCATGATACCTAGCGCGGAACCAAAATCCCTGTCACTCTTGAAGGCCGCTAGAAGGCGCCTGGGTACGAGGCAGGACGTAGGCCAAATTAACACCAGGCCTTGTTATGTTGTCATAACTGATCTTATATCCCTAACACCCACCAAACAGGTTCAGTAGAAAATACCTTATAGTCACTTTCATGCTACACTCGAGTTGCAGAAATTCTGCGTTATTATTTACCTGCTTAGGTCATCCACATACACCTGACGCAGAAATTTTGTATTTTCCAAAAAGACCCCTCTCACTGTGCAAGCATACATGCATAAGTTCTGCGATTAAAGTAATTGAAATGTCATTCACCGTAATCCACTTCACTTACCTATAGGCTGCTCGGGGCTAAGATATAGAAATTCTGAATTTAGTAAAATTAAATATAAAACAGCCAAAATCCACACTCCTTGAAATAGGATGTGGAAAAATGTGTATTGTATGTAAAATATGTAAAAAATATGTAAATAAAAATATATAAAATATGTAAATTAAAGAGACTATAAGTCAGATATTCAATTTCTAGCGTTTTACTGCGCTTTCTTACAAACATGCGAATTCTGAAGTTCAAAAGCAAACTGACGATTGCGTTTTTCGCTGCCGTCAATCATCTTAACGGACCTCTTAGGAAACAAAACCTTACTTTAACCATAGTTAATAGAGGGAATGGTTATGAAACCCGACAAAGTTCTTTGTTGTATGTTTTTGTTCTCTTTTTTGGCCTTGACCCTGCACAAAACACAATAGTTGTTTACTCCGTACTGAGGAACTAACCAATAGAAACGTGCTGGTTACGTAATTCATGCATAACGTATGAACGTAAAACAAAAGATTGTGCACGGTCGTGGACCTTCTAACATAAATCTTGGCATCTTTGTTTGGTCCTTTGATGTTTGCCGGGCTTCATAACCAGTCACCTCCATTAACTATGCTTTAACGGGTTCAAAAGGTCAAGGTTTGTGATTTGTGATTGGTGGATTTCGATCCGTTTTGTGTGTTTCTGTGTTTCAAGGTTCGTTGCTTGTGATCGTAATTATGATTGACGGCAGCGAAAAACGCAATTGTGAAGGCGGCTTTTGAACTTTAGAGTTCGCATGTTTGCGAAAAGCGCAGTAAGAATTTGAACGATTTTTTTCAGGCAGTATTCTTTCCTCCAAGGAAAGAAAATACTCAATTTGCTAATAGTCTTGAATATTTCTGTTTCGAATTCGTCGCGCCCGCTGAATAGAAGCATTAAAGACTCATTTATACAGGGTTAGCCTAGACCTAGGCTAAATATATTCACAAACTCCAGACAGAAGAAGACCTGTGTACAGCTGTGCCCATTGTTTTAAACTCAAATTTAGGTACCTTCTCACCGGTATTTGCATTCATCTTTATTCCGAAAGTGGACTATTGGAGCGTACACAGGACATATTTAGAGAGCATGATATGGTTGCTGGTCATGGCTATTAGCCAATCAAAATTCTAGAATTACATTATCCAATGATTCCGTTTTCAATTACTGCCAGAGGCACCAAATACTGGAATCGATGGGCCAAACCAGAATCACCAATATACCACATGTTGAACTATTTTTTCCATTAGTAGTAAGTATTCCTGGCATGGCTGGTGTTACAATTATTTTACTATCACTACCGCCACTTGTCAGGATCTTATGACCATGAAAGAGTGTAGAACTTTATATTTTCCGGTCAGCACAAAGCCCTTGTTCATTTGAGCGCTATCAAGCTTTCCAGGTAACAGATTTCGTATTCTTTTTTGCAAGTTAATTTAAAAAAATGGTAGATTTTTCTTTATATTTAATAGTTATGGTGGAAACAGTTTTTGAAACAGAAAATAAAGTTAGGGATATGATTGGTAAACGATTAAGATAACATCCATTAGGAAATTGAGTAATTTGAATTTTCGGTGGACGAAAACCGTGTACCAGAATAATTTCAAGCATATTGCATTCTGTTTCACACTCTTCAAGGGCTATAAATATCTGTAATAAGTTGTATGAAATAACTCCGAAAAAAGGTTCTTATTGGAGCCCGAGAAAATAAACTTCAAAAACCTAAAAATTCACAAAATGAAATCTTATGCGCGACAATTTTACCTGTGTTTTCTCAATTCCTGTGAAATTTGAAATTTATTTTCTCGGGCTCCCGCAATAAATTGTCTTTGGTGTTATTACGGATAGTTAATTACATCCATAGCCCTTGAAAAGCGTAAAAAAAAGAATGAGATATCGCTTAAAATATTCTGGTACAAAGATTTTGTCCACTGAAAATTAGAATTACTCAGTTTCCTAATGGATTCCGTCTTAAATCGTTGATACCTAATCGCTAAATTAAACAGCTTTGAGAATCGTCAAGACCCCTTCATATTTTTGGGATGTCGACACTAGCACGGAAAACTCTTTACGTTTGTCGATTAAACTCAGAGCTGTAATTTGCTTTTCTCACTTTACACCGTTCTACTACTTCTACTACTTGACTGTTTTTAGACAAGGTTTTGGGAAAAAACCTGTTCTTATGCAAGGGTTAGACAGTGTTAGAATCTGGCCCAAAGACATTCTGGTGTTCTTGCCACAAACGGGGTTCTATTTAGGGTGGGTATTGATTAATTTAGTATAAAAAGAAAAGAAAAATCGAGAAAACAAAGACGAAATACAAATGAAATGAAATCATGAAATCATTTTTATCTTTTTTTTTCCCGTCTTATGGACAAAATTATCATAAAAGTAATGGGTTATGAGAAATTCACTATTTGATTAATTACGAGATGCTTTTTTTCTTCCAAACTCTTTTAGCTTCACATATAGATATTTTTCCCCCTTTTATCTTGTTTTAGTTGTTGGAAGGATGGCTTTGAAACTCGCGACTGGTTTTCTGGTGTTCTCGTTGTCTTTGGCATTTGTTTCAAGCAAAACAGAAGATCAAAACGCCGAGCTGCATGATAGAAAAGGTTTGATTGAAGTGTTTCATTGAATCAGTAGCAAATCCTACTTTTTGGTGCGTTGAAAGCTAGCTGTACGTCAGTGTAATACACTTTGTCTTTGGCTTTGTTTTCTCCTATACGTCTGATATCAAGAGCTATATAAAGTGGTTAATCTTCCGACTACAAAAGGACCCGAGTATATCAATGACATTTCCTCAAAGTTTTTGTTAAATGAAAGGGGAGTGGTTGGGTGAATTGTCCCTTGTGAAACGTTGATTGGTCGTTACAAGGTATTTAGTGTTAAAGACGTGCTCTACGAACATGGTTTAAATTGGAGGATCGGATGTTGATTTTTTTACAATAATTCGAGGAGAATCTCGCTTGGTCAATAGTTAAACAGGGTTAAACAGGCTGTCTCCATTAGAATAACTGATGTGGATAAAATAATATTGTCTAAAACGGGTTAAAAAACGAGAACATTTGTCTTCTATAGGTAACAAAAATTATAGCATAAAATTTAATTTACTTGAAGATGAAACTCTAGATGCGCGGGGGGATACTGGGTTGTTCCTCAAGTGTGACCAAAAGCGTGACCAAGCAAAAAGCAAAGCTTTAAAAATTTACTTTCCGAAAATATTGTCATAAGTCGAACACAGGAAACTTCAATCCATATTTTTACTCAAGCAACTCCGTTGGTTGCCTCTAAACTGGTTAATTTGGTGCCAAAAAACGAAACGCAAAGCACATGTCTAAGACACCCTTTCCTACTAACGCGGTTTTCTCCCACTCTCAGAGTCTGTACGGATGGACGTACTACGTACGCTGACGTCTTAATCAGTACTACTAATACTAATATATAGATTTAGCCAGGGCTAAAAGCGAAGCTTCCATTAATAAATTTATAATTTAAATCAAACAATAAACTTGTAATCCACAAATCAGTTAACTTTAAGGGAAAGCTAAGGCTAAGTGATTTTAGAGTGAAAAAAAAAAATCTTACATCGAATTGATAGCCGTATATATATGTTGTGGTTCAATTTTATCCTTGGTTTAATTTTTATTTTCCTTTGTTTTTGGGTATGGTAATGTATGATAATCAGTTTAAAACAAAGAAAAATAAAAATTAAACCAAGGGCAAAATTGAACCACAACATATACACCCAAAAACTAGCAATTATCTTCGATCACATTTTAGAGCCATAATGGCTCTTGATCACAGTAGATTAGGCCTGGAAAACGCATTTTTGGAAAGCAAATCAAGCCGAATTTTTTGCGTTCGACAAGTTAACTTAACAAAATCTTGCCAACAACTCTGGGAGCGTGTAAACCAACATTTCATACTTTTTATACATCACATCTGAAACAGTAATATGAGGCGTTGTTTTTATCATATAGACCTCAGACAAAATGCAGTATTTCACAATTTTTCAAGACAAATAGACCTTCTCACGGTTTTCGACGCCATCTTGACGAGTAGGCAAACGCGTGAGAAATTACAGTGTTTGTACGAGAATCTAATGTCGAATAATTTCCGTAAAACGGCTGCTTTGAAAAAAATATGAATTGTAAACTAGAGCTTTACTCTTAAGGATTCTACTGAAAAAATTTGGGGGCGTTACATGAGCTAGAGGACCTAGAATCTTTTTTTAAAATTTTCTATACATTTGTCTGTTAAAATTTCCCAGGAAAAATTGCAGAGAAATATATGGAAAATTTAAAGCAAGCTTCTGGAGAAATTTAAGCGCAGTAACAGCTCCCAAAACTTGTTTGTAAAATCCTTTGCTGTGTAGCTTTAGTTTAAAATTCATATTTTTTTCAGAACAGTTGTTTTACGGAAATTATTCGACATTGGATTCTCATACAAACACTGTAATTTCTCACGCGTTTGCCTACTCGTCAAGATGGCGTCGAAAACCGTGACAAGGTCTATTGCACTCATTCAATATTCAAAACCGTACGAAGCACGCGTGGGCTTTTAGCAAAACCGTTCAAAAAATTTCCAAAATCACCTATACGGCCAGCCGGTTCTCACTTTTGGCAAGCGCCAAATTTTCAGTGAACATTAAAAGAGTTACGCTTCAACATAATAAAGAATTTATTGTGTTTATTTTTTTTATTAAATGGTTTTATAACGATGTGTAATCTTAAAAAGCGTTTGATACGAGCAGCATTTTGAGTACTCCTGCAAGCGTTGTTTATGAACGACTGAAAACAAACGGCAAAGCGATTAAAATTGTAAGAGACTACTAACAATCAATAAAAGAAATGTAATTCGGTGAAACATTTACAGAGACAACAATTTTCATTCACGAAAACAAGTATTAAAGCGTCTCTAAAAATCCTGAGTCTTTAAGCTTAAGCTTAAAGCTTTTAGCCGAATTCCTGGTGTTTACTGTTTTCAAAGATGAACTCGAGGTAAGAAAATCGCTCAAAGCTTTCTTTCTACAGGCAAAATTATAACTAAATACTCTTCGGAACGTTTTTTCGTTCTATATGCGGAGAGAAAATATCGACTAAAGGCTTTTTAAAGTTCTGTAAGCTTATATATACTAGATCAGATCATTGTCTCAGATCTTTATACAAACGTTCATAAATTAGCCTCATAAACTGCGCTCGACTTCATGAAATTAGATATAAAAATAACAAACATACACTGTGTACAATAATTACTTAGGCTTATCATTCGAGATGCAGCTCTTGAAAGCTATAAAGTAAGGCCAGAATCGCTTGAGGGACTTTTTAACCCGCACCCAGCAAGGTAAAAACGAAAGCGATGCATCCGAAATCGGATTTCCAACTTTGGCAACCGGCGCATTTCCCGACCAAAAATTCAATAAACAAACCAGCCATGAATCAAAGAAGACTGTTGATAGCAGCTGTATTTCATTTTAAGCATCCAGTGGAAAAAGACAGTAAAAAACATCACAAGTTGACAAAATACTCAGTCAGCTTCAGCTGTCAAACTGAAAGTAAACAAGGCTCAAGATGCTGTATAAAGTTTCTGCATGAACTCAACTGTCAAATTTTGACCAATCAGAGCATAAAAATTGGACGGTCGTAGAGCGTGATCAACGCGTGACTATGGTGAGAAAAGTGAAAAGCCTCTGTCTTCCCTGCTTGTATTTTTAAATGACTGGCTGAATTTTCGAGTCTGAGATCAGTTTGAAATCAAAATGTTAATAGCGCGGGGCCATAATGACATTAACACAACACTTTCTGTCATCATGTCATTATTTTGCTGCCGTTCTCTTTGCCTTTGTATTTCTCTTTCGCGTTGCTTTTGTCTATTCATTCTAGCTCTGTCTCGTTCTGCTTGCCGGCGTTTTTCACTGTAATTTTCTCTCCTTCTTCTCGCTCTGACTCTTTCTACTTGCTTTCTTTTTTTCAAAACCAGTTGCGCGATATAATTGCGCGACATTGCGCCATGCGATTTCCCGCCAAAAAATCTCTACTTTCCCCTACCCCAAGAGTCCATGCGGACTACTTTCCACTACCCGGAAAGTCCGTACGGACGGACGTACGCTACTTCATAACCAAATTTTCTGGGATGGATAGTTTACCAAATTTTCTTACCCATGGTGCTCCGCTTCGAGCGCGCGGGAGCTCCGCTACTATTCTAAATCTATTTTTTTAAAACGTTACGCATCAAGAAACCTCCTCTCTCAATTGCACACTTTATTATTATAGAAGATCACCATAGACATTTTTATTTCTATTTGATCTATTTTTAGGATCTCACAAATGCCATACAGTATCTTTTCCTGTGAAAGGAAATCCAATAGGTAGTGCTGATCGAGACCGACTTCAGAAAATCCGAACACCTGAACTGAGTTGGATACAAGTTCTTTCAATCGTCAAAGTTGGACCAGGTATGAAAAAGACATAAGATATGATATTGTAGTACAAGGCCATCGAACTGATTATATAATCTTGGAAAGAAACTGTTAAGAAAAATGGACGTTCAGTTGTATACTTTCAAGATAGAGGCAAGATAAAGCTTGTGCACGCACTAGCCTTTACAAATACTAACCCCCCCTCCCCCTCCCTGAAAACAAAAGAAGAAGAAGAAGAGGAAGAAGACTGAGCCATCAATGTATTATGGAAGGATCATTCCTGAAACCTGCCCAGCTTTGCTCCTCTTTTTTCTTTTTACGCTGTTCAGAGAGGTAATTGCGGAATTTTTCTGACCATCCGTCCTTAACGCTCTGTTTTAGAAACTTGAAACCTATCAAGGTATGGGTACTTCATTAAGTGGCGATTATTACTAAAGGTCCAGTAATCAGGTGGCGTATTAAAGAAGTTTTAAAAAAGCTTTTCCCCCTAAATTTCAAGGTCACTTCCAATCTCTTGGTCGAGTCATTCATTTGAAGCACTTGAAAGAACTGCTAGAGAAGCAGAATAATGTTAACTTTGATGCCACAAGAAGCAACATGGGTAACCTCGTTTCCCAATTGGATATTTTAGCGGACACCCTTTACGTTGAGGTATTGTATAGGTTTGTTTTGGTTGTTTTGTATGCATAGCATGTTACTTGTCTATGCAGTTCAATATTTACAACACTAGCATTATTATTCAGATCATTATATTTATCTTCATTTTTTCTTGTCCCCGTTTTCCATACATTGAAATTAATAATTTCGCACCTCCAAAGCGAGTAAGGAATAGGTCATTCGTACGATGGCGTCATTTTACTTCCTACTACTACCAGAATACTTTTCTTTTTTCCTTTCATATTTTAATTTGATAATCCCAGCGAGGTTTAAATAACAAAATTAATGCTCTAATTTGCGAAAGAAAGCAAAACCCTGAAGGATTCTGGTCGAAGTAGTAAAATGACGTCATCGTGCAAATGGCCCACAATACATGTGTCTGCTGTGCTCTCTTTGCAGGGCAAAATTCATTTTTATGGAGTCAAGGTAGTAAAGATATACGTGCGGGAGATAACTGCTACTTACGGTAGTCAAGCATATTTCTATTCACCAAACTGGAAAGAGGAATATAGTAGACGAGTTATCACCGGAAAGAATGGCGAGGATGGTAAAAAAGGCATTGATGGTACTAAAGGTAGGCTAAAGTATATTTGTTTATGTTCTAAAGGGTTAATAGGCCCAGCCTCGTACCCAGGCCTGTTCGCGCTATCCAAGTGACCAGAGGAGGCTTGGAACGGAGAGCGATTTGTTGAGCACAAAAATCCACGTTTATTTCTATCCGAAATCGCCGAGGACGACTGGGAACTGAAATAGGCCTAAATCCAGATAAATTAGAAGGTTAACACTTAACAGGTGGTGCTATTTCATCAACCATAGATTCCTTGAACGAAAATTCTCCAACAACTTTACGGATTTCATAGCAAACGTTGACTAAACTATCCCAACCTGTTTCCGATGCTTTTTGCATTTCTTCAAGAATTTGGCTAAAGTCGTGGCTCGGCGCCGCCATTTTGGATTTGCCATTATTTGCCAGGCGTCCTCGGCGAATTTTCTCGACAAGCTTGACAGGTAACATCCGAAATCGCCGAGGACGACTGGGAACTGAAATAGGCCTAAATCCAGATAAATTAGAAGGTTAACACTTAACAGGTGGTGCTAGCCTTAATTCTAGTAAGCCAAGGGTAAATGATGAAACTTGTAATAAAACCTGAATTTACCATATTTCCCATAATTTAATGATTATTGTTGTTGTTTTTGATGTTATTCATAAGAGACCGCTTTTATCAAGTGATGGCAAATTGATGGAAGCAAACAAAGCTCTGCGCCTTTTAATGGTTCTTTGGGAGCAATTTACACATAAACTGCTTAGCTTTAGTTTGCGAAAAAGATTAAAACTATGATTTTCAATGGTTAAAAATTCTATAAAGATGTGTAATGTACACCGCTATACGCTTATATTTCACCCATGATTTGACCTGTCAATTAAATCCCTTTCTGAACGATTTCCTTTCTGATTCTGTTGAAATCATTCCGGGCGCATATACTAAAACAAAGAAAATTTGAAAATATTGGCTTCAGAGACACATTTAAAAGAATGCTGATTTTTTTCTTTAGTTTATATCTATGCCGACGTCGTGAATGGGATTTTTGGAATAACTTCAAGAGGTGGAGATGGCAAAAAAGGTCAAGACGGTGGTAATGGTGCCGCAGGAAGGGACAGTGGCCATAGGGTTGGCATGTTGTTCATGTTCCTTAATTTTCTTTATAAAACCTTTTCACTCACGTGATCAGCAACTTTGCAAATTCATTGGAACGAAAAGAGGTTTTTACATAAAAAAAAGGTTCAACTCACACAGGATTAGTTTGGGACACCAACATGGCCTTTGTTTCGTTGTTCAGTTGGGACGTCAAAATTGATTTGCCCACTTCTTGTTAAACGCAAACGGTATGCTGCAGTTCCACTGTTTTATACAACAATGTGGCCGCCGTGATGTTAAGAGTAAACGACCTTATATGCCCCTTTGGAAGAAAGATCTAAAAGTAATAGCTCATGTTCGATCATGTTCGATATGTTGAAATTCTAAATTGACTCCGAGGCTTTAGGGACAAATTGTAAATTTTTCACGACTCCATTGTGTCGCAATTCCTAGAAGAGACTTGAGCAAAAGGAAATCCAAATCAACTATAGAAAAAATGACCAGAAAGCCTTGTAGTCATGTTAGAATTTTAATATATTGACCGTGGTTAAAAGGGAATGTGTTTTCGTTGACCGTACACATATGCCTTACACCTGACCATATTAATTCTGCGTAGAAGTACTCATGTTACTTTACAATATTTCTATCAATCCCTGACTCGAATCATAAATTAATCAAAAGGCAATTGCAGTCACCTAAAAATACATACGCATTTCATCAATTTTGTTTAAAAGAAACCTGACAGGTCCTCGAATTTGTGTAAGCGCGTTGGTCCTTGCGTTCATTACAGTTGGCCTGGTTACCGAGGAGTCCGAGGTCCGAAAGGAGGAGATGGAGGGGATGCAGGGAAGCCTGGTGAGGAAAAAAAAGCAGCCTTCGTTACGAAAATAATACTCGAGTACTAAATATTTATAAGAATTTGATTGATAGGAATTTTCATTATTTCGTAATTTTACTTCATTACACATACAAATTCACGAAACGTTTAAGACGAAGCCTTTGTACGCGTAACCATGAAGTTTTTGTTTTGTGGCCGATGTTATCAAACTACGATTAATTTTGTTCTGGCTTTTCATATGAAATTGAAGCCTATCCCACAGCATATTCAAACGATGATTTATTTACAATGTATTCATATTTCAATGATGTGGTCAGGTGACGGAGGAAGCGCTGGAGTGGTAATTTTTCGTGCAAGAAAAATCAATGGGGAAGTCACAATCGGGACATGTGCTGGAAAAGGAGCCGCTGCAGCCCGAAACGGTCGAGGGGGAAAGGGTAAGAGGAAATTGGAAACTACAACATTGAGAAATAGGGGGATCAGGTTTGACACTGTCAGTATTATACTTTTGACCAGGCTAGGACAAGGTAAACAAGAACGTCAGAGACACAGCCTCCTGCGGCCCGCGTGTAACGTTTTTATCGTTACCAAATTTGACGTTATCTGTGATCTACTGTATTACTGCACAGACACATCGTCTCAAATCTCAGTTCAAAACATCCATTATCGCTTATGGTGACATGAAATACTTATAGTGAAGGCCAACTTCACTGCCAAGTCAAAAGAGAAATAAACAGTTAAATACATGTAGCACACAAGCTCGCCTGAGATAAGTGAAGCTTTTAATAGGTGGAAAGTGTTCCTATACTCTGCTGTAAAAGCCTGTGTGCGCATTAACAAGTGAAAACGCAGCTATAGATGAATCAAATGTAACGTCGGAGGATCAGACGAAGAATACACTTTGTCCAGACAAATCTGTATTGTTTCATCTGGTGGGACATTTGTGAATAATAACAAAAGACATCCAAAGGGGGCACATTATACCATTGCTATGTTTACACTTTTTAACCCAGTCTGCAAATCTTAAGAGCGACTGTCTGTAAATATCGACCAAAATCGTCTTTTTGCGGCACAAGCTGAAAATTCGAATTTCGCTCATTTTTGGCTCATCGATAACCCTTAATGAGTAATAAAACATGCTTTAGTTAGTTTTCCCAAATAACGTATTCTTTTGTTAAAATTCGAGGAAACTCATTTTGCCCGTTCGGAGCTCAAAATCCACTTCCGGTAAAGCGAAATTTTACACAAATTTCATTGACTCGTACATCAAACTACAAAGATTTGGCGGCCTTTGAAGAACACGAATAGTTTTTATGACCCTTTCTTTCTCATAAGACGATAAATTTGTGAAAGCTGTAATAAGTTTGTGGCCAAAAAGGTATTGTTAAAAATTGGCCCTATTGACAATTTCACCGGTTCAAAATTATAGGGTTAAAATAATGTAAATTTTTACAATGCGCTATAACTTAGAATTTCGCAAATTGACTTTCTATGGTTTAACTAGGCCCAAATATATCAGAAAATCGAACAAATCTTTGGGCAAACGATTTTAAGTAGCCCGCAAGACGCCCAGTTCAACCCTAATCTTGCGAAAATCGCGACATTCCAGTGGTTAAAAATAGCGTGACACGGCCCGTCACGCCCAGCGGTGTTAACGACAGATTCACTTTCAACATTCTATTCAACACTGATAACATAACATAACATAATCTTTATTTAACGTGGGAGAAACACTTAGCTAAAGCTATTTTGCAGGTTTTCCACAAATCAATATTAAGAAAGAAAGAAAGAAAATATGTACATAGAAGTGTAAAAATATAAAATATCTAGCATCTAAAATTACAAAATTAGATAACTAAAATTGAATGTTCCTCACTTGTTTGTTAAATTCTAGTCCTCCAGCTCTTAATCGTAATTCGTTTGGAATACTGTTCCATTGTTTTGCGGCGAAATATCTGAAGGAGTTTAATCCATACTTTGTAGTCTTTACTTTTGCCCCTTAAATCGTACTTGTTGTCTCTCATTTTAACGAGTTCCTTAATGCAAGTGGGGGCGGTGCCTTGAAAACAGGCGTTTATAGGTATTAACATGTCCTGGACACGACGGTTTTCCAGCGTGGTTCCTAAACCTATTCGCTGTAGCAGTTCATAATAAGCTGATGTTTTATCTTTGTAAACATATCTTAGTGCACGCTCATTTACTTTTTCTATTTTCTTTGTGTTTCTCGAACCACAATGATGCCATACCTGACTGCAATAATAAAAATGAGGCAGAACAAACGCTCGATACAGTAATTCCTCGACCTTGCCCGGAAGAATGTTTTGTAACCTATTCAGCGCATTCATCACATGCCGAATTCCAGCATACAATCTATATTACATCTTTCAATAACCTTATCTTATTTAGAAGAGTCATTTTGTTTGGATACAATATATAGTGTAGAATTGCCCAAAAGTCGGCTTTTTTGAGCAACGTCAGCAAGACGTCGACGACCGAGCCCAACGAAAACAAACTTTGAACAAGTACAGTGGTGTGTTTCATAATTTAAGCATCCGTCAAAAGGCATAAATACGTTAAATTTAAGACAGGGATAACCAATATTAACTAATTCGAACAATGTTTTTTTCTTGCGAGTTTTCTCTTTAAAGTAATTATGTATAAGTATAAATGTACGTTTGGATGTATTACTATCACGCTTATAAAGGTACATTGTAACGAACGTTTCAGAAAACGTTTTAACTCCTTTCGATCGACGATGAAACGCCATCATCAAAAACAAATCACCAAAAACTTTCTTCTACAGCAAAACGGAAAATAGAGAAAAAAGTGGCGTTTTACTAATGCTAAAGCAGGAATAGTTGCAGCGTGATCATGAGCTTTTAAAAATGGCAAATGCTCCTAAATGGACATCTATAGATCCCTTGCATCGCCATTGGAAAAAAAACTCTCTGGCCCACTATGAACTAGCCTATTCCAGGCGTAGTGAACAGTGGATAGTGGATAGAGGACGGTGGCGCGAAATGGGGAACGGAGGAAAACAAACGTGGAAAAGAGTAAGAGGGAGAGAGTAGGAGGACCTTTCGCCCTCAATCCCTAACCCCGCCCCTTCGCCATTTTTTCTAGCCCACCTTTCTTTGCGTTTTCTCAACTATCTGAAGGCCTGTTACAGGTTACCTAGGTCCTTCATTTACAAATTTTTATGGTATATAACGTATTTATTCGATTAACCGCCCTGGGCGCTTATTAAATTTTTGGACCTTGAGAGTGGGCGCTTATTCGAGGTGGGTGCTTATTCGAAGGCTGGGCGCTTATTAAATTTCGCCATTCTCAGCAAGTGTAGTATGTTTATTTTGCAACAAAACAATAAATGGTAATAACAAAAAGCGGACATGTAACAAAAAATAAAATGTAAAATGCTCTGAAGAAAACTCCGTCTTCGGGAGGGTCTATTATTATCTCTTATTTAAGTTTGTGTAGGAGGGAGTGGGCGCTTATTAACTGTTCTGCCTTTAGGAGGGGCGCTTATTCGAGGTGGGCGCTAATTTGAGCTTGGGCGCTTATTCGAATAAATAGAGTATTCAACTTGAGCGTCGAGCACTTTTGGCGCTTTGTTATTGATCAGCAGGAACGGATTTGGTAGTACTAACTTTTCAACTGCTTTTAGACTGCGAATTTTTTTTTCTTTCTTTCTTGCTGACTTTCTTTTATTTTTTCTTTGTCAGTTTCTACCGTAATTTTTAGACGTATTTTTCGATCCTCTCCCCAGTCTCACTCACTCTGCTCCCCCCCCCCCCCCCCCCCCCCCTTTTTCCGAAACAACAACAACAACAACAACAACAATAAAAATAGGGAAACAAAATAGAGTAATACTAAAGCTAAGAAGAATCTTGTAACAAACGAATGGGAACACCTAAAAAGGAAACTTTCCTCATCCTCCGTAGCCTTAGTCCATGAAACGTAGACGCTCAAGCGGGCCTCAAAAACCTTACCTTTGTCTTTGTCACAAACCGAATAAGACTGAAAGCCTTAGTCTGCTTTACGAAAGTACCTTGTACATCTCCAGAAGAAGAATTGTTTGCAGCCGGCCCTCAATTAACCCCAAGAGACTTCGCCTGCTGCTGGTCAATATATAGGAATCGAAGGCTATTCCAAAGAACTGCTCCAGAAAAACTATTTTTCTTAACATTTTTCTGGGGTAGAGGAATAGCGAGTTTTCTGTGTCTCTTAATACGTAATTAGAGATATTGCAACGTTCTGCCCTTGCTACGATCTACTATGCACTTAACAAGGCCCCTCAAGGTACTTAAGCTTACTTAAGATATATTGCGCATATTCTGGGATACACTCGCCTCACCGCTCTTTGACGAAATGTTCCTAGCGGCAGATAGCGATGAGAGGAAGCTGTATCGCAGGCTTTAGGACACAAGGATTTTCTACTATTTACATGGGTAAACCGGTCGCTCCACGGTTTGGGCAAATGGTGAGCAGAATTCCGGACTGATTAATTTTGATTCCGTTCGGTAATCGCGTTTCCCGTTTGCCTAAGTCAGTTTCGTTTAATGAAAAACGGCCGCGAAAGCCTGAAACTGATAATTATTCAAAAAAGGTTTGAAGACATGAAATCCGAACTTCCGCCAGAAAGTTTCCAACCAGGAAGACCAGGAAAATAGACGAACGCCTTTTCAGACGTTCCGTTTGTTTCAGGAATTTTCCACTGAAACGTCGAAAGCAACCCGAAACTGAGTTGATGGTAAGCCTGGCAAAGCACCAAAGTGTCCTCTTAGTTTGTTTTAATGGGTCATGTATATAGTCATGCAGTAGCTTCATGATTCATACACGTTGTCATACAAGTATATATAGGCTCCTCTTTGGCATCCACCTAGCTTTTTTTTCAGTTTTGAGAGCCCGCACCAATACTTAGTCTAAAATACTTTTATTCTTTAAAATTGCTTCAAGGAAATTAGTTTTTATAAACCAAATGGCATTGATTGGCGATGATTTAATTCGTAAATATCTCTCAATGCAAAAATTCATTCAGTAATCAGTTTTAGTTTTTAGATTTTGTTCTGTTTATATACCATTTTTGGGGGGAAATCGCCAGTCTGAAACTGAACACGAAAGTGTGTGACGCTATCCCAGGGACCCTAGATGTTGTATCTGAAGAAAATGCTGCAATCAGTGAGAATCATAGGTTTACTGAACGATTTAATTTCGAATTGGCTTTTAATCTGCCTTTAACTAAATTGTTTAAAGCATATCTATAGGCAACACTGGCGTGACGGGCAGTGTCACGCTATTTTTAACCACTGCAAATGTCGCATTTTTTTTGCAAAATTAGGGTTGAACTCAACGTCTTGCGGGCTACTTAAAATCGTTTGCCCAGAGATTTGTTTCGATTTTCTGATAGATTGGGGCCTAGATAAGCAGTAGAAAGTCAATTTTCGGAATTTCAAGTTATAGCGCATTGTAAAAATTTGCATTTTTTTATCCCTATAATTTTGAACGGTAGAAATGGTCAATAGGGCCTATTTTTAACAAACCTTTTTGGCCACAAAATGATTACAGCTTTCACAAATTTATCGACTTATAAGAAAGAAAGGGTCATAAAAACTATTCGTGTTTTTCAAAGGCTGCCAAATCGTTGTGGTTTTACGTACGAGTCAATGGAATTTGTGTAAAATTTCGCTTTACCGGAAGTGGATTTTGAGCTCTGAACGGGCAAAATGCGTTTTCTCGAATTTTAACAAAAGAACACGTTATTTGGAAAAACTAACTACAGCATGTTTCATTACTCATTAAGGGTTATCGATGAGCCAAATATGAGCGAAATCAAATTTTGAAGTTGTGCCGACCGTGGGTCGATATTTACGGAAAGCCGCTCTTAAAGAGTCTTTAACGGTGTGTTGGTTGGCTACAAGGCTTCACGTAAACGTTTTTTTAGAAAATTTGAAAATTTTTGACGTTTGACGTATTCAGTATTTACTCTCTCCAAGTAAGTTCTTTCATGTACCTTTTTTATAATGGCGCTTTAACACTTTCCCTTACTCAGATCTTTCAAACTGGACATCAGATTCATCAATACTCAACCAGATACTTTGACTTTTACCGACCTCATGCTTGTAGAAAAATTAAATATTGAAAATTCTCGATCTTGTTTCAAAGTCCTAGACGCCTTGACGTCTTCAAAACGTATTTAAGTGACTGATCAAACCATTTTTAAGGCCCAGAGAGGATTCAGGATAAAAATCTAATTACCTACACATCTACATTTGTTTAGTGCACATACCTATGTCCTCATAGAGGTTTTTTTTCTGCATTTTTAAATGCCGCCTAGTATTTGAAATGCGGCTGGGGGAAAATCTCTATTTGTTAAGAGCTCGTGGGCTTCTTGGAGACTTCCCCGCCATAGTCTCCTTCCTACAGCTGTTTCTAATTTAAATTTAAAGTTATTTATCTCTTTATTATGCTTTTACTTCTACTTACTGTAATTTATTTTGTGTGGCAAAAATAGTAAATAGAAAAAAATGGTTGAAGTAAGCCAAAGAGGTAAGAAGAAAGGTTTTAGATGTAGGTGTTAACAGATGAGACAATGGGGTGGAACGGGCCGCGAGCCGGCTTAGTGAACTTTTGGAAGGGCATACAAAACACCAGGAGAAGAACCACCGGTTAGAGCGATTTTCCTATGATCTTGAAATGAAAACGCGCCAACAAAACAGAAACAACAAACGGAAATAGAGCGGACACAAACGCGCGTTACTTTTGGTTGGTTAAGCGAACGCTCGGGTGTAAAAACTTCATGCCCGAGAACTTTCTAGAAATCAATATCAATCGCTTTGAAGTCATACTGCAACACGATTGGCCAATCGAACAATGCCTCCTTCATATTAGGGTTTTCTTTGGCGGGAAAACGAAGAGTCCATTTTTTAATGTTTTCATTCATTGGCTAATAAAACAAATAACGAACACTCACCGAAACCATTTTTCAAGGTCATACGAAAATGACTCTTGAAAATGTATGTTAAAGCATACGAAACTTCAATTTTATAACAAGAAAAAATACGGAAGTTCAGGATGTTCAACGCGGCTGTTTGTCTTTTACTTTTGATTAAACTTCAAGATGCTACGTATGTTTACACATGGATACACTGGTCAAAAAAATTTTGACCAATCTGAGATTAGGTTTCTCCTGGAGAGTGACAAAATGCGTGGCGTGACCAAATTAAAATCAAAGCCTAAGATTGCAGTAAAATTGTCTAGTCATATCAAGAAGCTTCCGTTATCAAACCGTATCATTGCATGTGTAATATTTTCCCCTTAGGTGGTGCAGGTGGCTTGGGAGGAAGAGGAAGGAGATGTTATGATTTTAATGGATATCCGAACTTCTGGCAGAAATTTTGTTCTGATGACGGAGCTACTGGTCGAGCACCTCGGGGGTCACATGGTTCAAGTGGAGCACCGGGAAAAAGTATTACTTACATTTAACAATTATTCGCCGAAGGCGAAGTCAATATTGTTAAATAATCCCCCAGACGAAGTCGATTTTTGTAAGCTTTAGCATCAACGGTTTAAAAGAAAACGCCGAAAATTTAAATTACTACCCAATTCTGAGAAGCCAGCGAGGTTTTTCAACGAGACAGCATTCCCATTTTTGTGTCACGCACTTTGAAAACTCGGAAGTTCAAATTGCTGTATTTTCGAAATGAAACATGCTACGGGATTGGAAGCTTGTAGAAACATTTATTTTTTATTTATCTTCAACCTAGTGTAAATACGAATTCGTAAAACCTCGCTGTTTTGACTTTACAATTCGATGACGTCAATATGATAACAGGCCAGAGCCCCGATTTTAGTGCGCGCCAGAGGAGGCCTAATCTCCACAGCAACCACCGCAGATCGTTTTCCAATAACAGACAAGCGTTACTTTCGTAAATAGTTTTAAGCATTCCTCCAGACACCTTTGGAGAGCGCCGGACACATTGCCTGTCAAGGAACTTTGTACTTCTGATTAAACGAACCAGACATCTCAAAGAAAAGGCGAAATTTGATTTGGGTATTATAAATTCATTTCACGGTCGACTGAAAATTTGGAAGTCGATCTTTGCGGCTGGCTTCGCAATTGATAACTACAGTTTTCTCGCCGCATTTGATTTCAAATAGGCTTGATACGCTTTCAATGGTTTTTCAAGTGCTTTCTTTTAAGAAAATAGTGCTCCGATGGCTTATTGAGCTATTTTGAAAAAATAGCTCATATGTCAGTGGTGTGAGCGTATGTATCTTTGTGGCTTTGTAACTTTGTATGTTCGGATGTTTGTTGCAAGAGCCAATAAGGTTCAAGGTACTATTAGTTGATGCTTAGGAACCAATGAGATCTTAGCATCTACTTAAACATGACATTGGTAAAGGTTGAACAGGGGCACTTTGAGACCGCCATCTTTATTCTTCACAATTTTTTCGTCTTTTATTACGGCTACAGGTGTTTGGAAACATTATATTAAATATCTTCATTATTCAAACGCTGTGTACAGTGATGCAGCTGTTTAAGGGTTCATATTTTAGTGTTGAAGCTACTTCAAGACATTTCTGACCGAATTCGGCTATCGTTAACGGTATTAACGCACGTATTTATGAGTTGTGTTTCACGTGCTTCAAGGTAGAGTATAAAAGATCGTATATTTTCAAAGCTCTTCCAGTGAAGCAATAATTGATATTTAGATATAGACTTTTATTCGAAAGTATGCGCCTATAAAATGTGGTTTTAGAAGTTTAAAAAGCTGCTTATTTTTTTGAAAGCTGTATCGAGTATTGTTAATCCTGTAAACAAGCTTTAAAAATATTATTCTCTCGCTTACAAAGTTCAACCGACCTTTTTCGTTCTATTTAGTAAAGATGCGTAACTTAAGTAGAAACAGTGGCGTTAGGGAATATAATTGGAGGAAGCTAGTTGACACAATAATCATGATATAAGTAGAAATATATTTCGGCAGTTTGATAATTTTCTTGGAAGTTAATAAATGTTAGGCTATCAACCTTGACCTTGCATGAAACATAATTTAATTGCAGATGTTGTAGTAAGGCCGAGGTGATTTCTTAAAATCGTTTAAGAAAATTTTGTAACATCTTCACATGCAAATTGTGTGCATGAGTTATTTTTACAATTCTGTTTACTAGATTACTGTGTGATAACTCGAATTCCCTCACGTACGAACGACGAAAGGGGGCAAAGTCCGACACTTTCACGTGCCAGCTGTGTGACTGTACATCACATGCAGATTGGCTTTTTGAGCTATTTTGAAGAAATAGCTCATATGTCAGTGGTGTGAGCGTATGTATCATTGTGGCTTTGTATCTTTGTGGCTTTGTATGTTGGGATGTTTGATGCAAGAGCCAATAAGGTTGAAGGTACTATGAGTTGATGCTTAGGAACCAATGAGATCTTGGTATCTATTTAAACATGGCATTGGTAAAGTTCGAACAAGGGCACTTTGAGATCGCCATCTTGATCCTTCACAATTTTTTCGTCTTTTATTACGGGTACAGGTGTTTGGAAGCATTACATAAAATATCTTCATGATTCAAACGCTGTGAATAGTGATGCAGCTGTTTAAGGGTTCATATTCTAGTGTGGATGCTGCTTCAAGACATTTGTGACCGATTCGGCTATCGCGAACGGTACAACGCACGTATTTATGAGTTGTGTTTCACCCGCTTCAAGGTAGAGTGTAAAAGATCATATATTTTCAAAGCTCTTCCAGTGAAGCAATAATTGATATTTAGATATGGACTTTAATTTGAAAGCATGCTCCCTATAAAATGTGGTTTTACAAAGTTTGAAAGGCAGCTTATTTTTTTTTAAAGCTGTACCGAGTATTTTTAATTCTGTAAACAAGCTTTAAAAATATTATTCTCTCGCTTACAAAGTTCAACAGACCTTTTTTTTTCGTTCCGGCAAAACAAAAAAATAATAATAAGTGAACAACATGATACATCCGTCTTGCATACTAAGCATTATAGTTATTGAAACGTATTTTTTTTAGTAAAGATGAGTAACTTAAGAAGAAGCAATAGCGTTAGGGAATACAATTGGAAGAAGCTAGTTGACACAATAATTAGATACTATTTTATTGAGTGGAGTAACATGATATGAGCAGAAATATATTTCGGCAGTTTGATAATTTTCTTGGACGTTAATAAATTTTAGGCTATCAACCTTGACATGGCATGAAACATAATTTAATTGCAGATGTTGTAATGAAGCCGAGGTGATTTCTTAAAATCGTTGAGAAAATTTTGTAGTAAACAATTTGCGTTTTGTAAAAGGGCCAAAGACCAACATCTTCACGTGCAAATTGTGTGCATGAGTTACTTTTATAATTCTGTTTACTAGATTACCGTGTGATAACTCGAATTCCCTCACGTACGAACAAAGAAAGGGGGTAAAGTCCAACACTTTCACGTGCCA